GGTTCAGGTCCTCAGAACGACCTGTCGGAGTCCCACTGTCCGATCGTCCTTGATTCAGCTAGGCGCTGCTGTCTCTGATATTTCCCAGCGTTTGTTTCTGCCGCCGCTGTATGCAGCACCTTTCTGTGTCAGCTTCCATCGCCCCTCTGCGTCAGTTCCGGCGCCCCCCCGCTTCCACTTCCGGGGCCACCCTGGGCTCACCTCCAGCGCCCCCTCGCGTCCGCCCCCGGGGCCGCTCAGTGTCCACCTGTGGCGTCCCTTCACGTCCACCCCCGGGGCTGCCGCAGTCGGCTGCTTACCACGTCAGCTCCGGTGTCTTTCTGCTTCCGTTCGTGGGGCCACTCACTTCTGGTCTCGGGGCCGCTCCGCCTCCGCTCTCCGGGGCCGGTCACCTCCGCTCTCCAGGGCCGGTCACCTCCGTTCTGCGGGGCCGCTCCACCTCGGCTCTCTGGGCCGCTCCGCCTCCGCTCTCGGGGCCGGTCCAGCCGGCTTCTCTCCGTGTACTCCCCCGGGGCTGCCGGGGCTGGCACCTCTCCGTCTCAGCTCGTGGACCCTGGACGCTGCTGTATTTGGTGTTTCTCCGGGTCCGTTCTCAAATTCCTCGGTCGTTGCTGTTTCTCCGGGTCCGCCGCTCCGTCTGTGTTATTCTTCTATGCAGGTCCCTGTTCGGGCGCCATCTTGCAGAGCCACGGACGAATGACACGCCGAGACGGGTTCAGTGTGGGTGATAGAGCATCAATCAACGTGTGTGTTTATTGGTCCAGGGTACATATATTTATACAGACAATGATAATTATTATGCCTACTAGTCACTAGTTGATTGGCTTAAGCTCTAAAGGTCGTATTCGCACGGTCCACCTACTTGCAGTTAGCTTACAGCACAAGCTTCTCATAACACTGTTTCTCATGCTACTATTTCTGATTCCTGTTGACTTGTTTTCAATACACGACAGTACCGTAACACAATGTTTCTCAGACCACCGTTACCATAACACTGGGTTTCTCAGACCACTATTCCTAATTCCCCTTAACCTGTTTTCGACACACCACGGTACACAGGGCTGAAGCGTCCTTGACATTCCTCCTGTATCAGCAGCTGCGAGCAGCTGCAGGCAAACCCTAGTGAGGCCCAGCATCAGCAGCTAGAGCAGGCTCTGATCATACAATTGCTCGGGGGGCTCAAGACCCTTGTCTCTGAGCCATTCTCCAACACTTCCCCTCTTCTTCTGAAACTCCAGTTGTTTGGCCGTCCAGTTAAAAGAATATACGGGTGTCTCACAGCTGTTATGAGACAAGGCTTCCTACACTCTTAGTCTTACTTGCTCATACACTACACGGTCATACCACACTTTGGGTGACACATATGGACTATGTGATGCACATTAGCAGTCTCCTGTTGCGGATTACAAAGAGGGATCCCTCCTCACCCAGACAGGCAGGCTCTCATTTGCCTGCAGCAGGAGGCAGCTGCCAGCCAGATAGCCTTCAATTTTCAGTTTTTTGCCTTTTCTGGCCTCTCCAGATTCAGCCATGGCAGCTCCTGTCCACTGTCCACAGCCAGTAAGTGCTTTGACTGTTTCTTTTTGCCCCCATGCCGTGAGAAGCACAAGACTATGAGAAGGGCAGAGACAACACACACAAGGCTGAGGCAGCTGCAGTCAACGGCAGCCACAGGGGAGGAACGGACAAGTGCATCCTCAGTGCAGCCTCTGGAAGAGGGAAAGAAGAAGCTGTGACTATTATTACAGTAGATTGCTCCTGGCTAAAGCCCTTCCTTCCCCAAATGCTTCTGGAGATGCATCAAGGGCCAGCTTGTCACTGAGTTTGGGGCTGGCCTGAGGCTACGAGACAGGCTTCGCAGGTGGTGCTAGAGCTGGGGACAGCTGCACGGTGAGAGTGGGGCCAGGGGAGGCTCAGGGGGAGCTTAGGTGAGTTGGGGAGGCACCCAGTGTCTGCTCCTGGGGAGACAGTCACCTCCTTCCCCTCCTTCCTTCTTCCAGCTCTAAGGTAACTGCCTGGGGCTGCCCCGACCTGGCTCACCTCCAATGGAAGGGGAGCCTGTCCCAGGAGGCAGTTTGAAGCTTCCCGTCCAACCACCTCCAGGCAGCCAGTGGGCAGGAGACACCCCCGCACCCGCCCAAGGGGCTCGCTCGCCTCACTAGCGTTCCTGGCCCGCACCCACCGCCAGGAATCACGCCCAGCGAGCCGCCGTGCACCGGCAGCAGCGAAGCCGGCGGTGCCGCTGCTGCGCACCTGTGCGGTGCCGGTGCTGCAGTACCGCGCTTCGCCCACCGGGTGGCGGCAGCGGCGGGGAGCGCCCGGCGGGCGGCGCGTGCCCGGGGGCGGCACCGGCGCTGCAGTCCCGCGTCGGCGCGCAGAGCGCCCGGGGACAGCGCGCGCGGGAGGCAGCGACATCACCACAGCGTCACAATGGCACCACCGGCAGAGGGCAACGCAGACCACGGAGGCGCCGCCGCGGCGCCCACCTGCAGTACCGCGTGTCGCTTACCAGGCGGCAGCAGTGAGCGGGCACGAGCGCCACACCCCGCACGCGCGGCACCCGAGCAGCAGTACCGGTGTTCGGGCGCCGTGAGTTTGACACCGCGCATGTGCTCTCAAGGGACAGCCGTTCTGCATTTCGGTGGGGTAGCTGGAAGCCCGCAGAAAACCACACAAAACCTGCGACGAAACTACACCTCTTGCCGCGCCGCGGGGTCCGCGGCGGTAGAAAGGACAACGCCACGCGGCACGCGCCCGAGAGCAACGCGGCTCTGCGGCAGGTAAGTCGGCGAAAACTACAATTCCCGGCATGCAATGGCAAACAGCACGGCCGCCCGCAAGCCGAGTGCCGTGAGACTACACCTCCCGGCATGCCCCGGGGAGCCCACGTGGCTGACCGGAAGCCCCGTGCCCCAACGTGCCGCCACAGGTAGCCTTCCGTGCTTGCTGACCCTGGGGGTGCACCGTTCCGTCCCCGCTTCCCGCCCCGCTGACACACCTGGAACCCCCGGGCGCAGCCCTGCGCTCCGCAGCGACCCCCGCCGTTCCGTGCCTCCGACACGAACCCCGCTGGCCCCGCAGCTCGCCCCGCGGGCACCGCTGCCCTCCTCGGGGGTTTTCCCCGGGATCTGGCTCCGCGACCGCTCCACTGCTCCCTTGGCTCACACCGACCTCTCCGGGACCACCCGGGGCGGGGCAGCACCAGCCCTCTCCACCGGCAGCCTCCCCTTTACAGGGCGTGACCGCTGCCATCAGCCTCACTGACCGCACCTGGGGCTCCTCCGGCCCACAGCTGCAGCCCAGCAGGAACAAGGGGCCATCGCCCGACACCCCCGCTGCGTCACCTCCTCCCCTGCGCTCCATACAGACCCTCGCCCGGTGCAGAGGGAGTGCAAACGCAGCCAGAAAGGCAAAGGAGAGAGCGAGTATTTACACGCACGTAACAAGACCCAGGAGCAAGTTTGCTCGAGGGCTCAGGGCCCCTAACGCTCCCCCGCCCCCCGCACGCATTGGTCCATCGGGGAACGACCAGTCGGTCGGTCAGCTGAAGCGATAGGCTGCGGGGCTGGAGCGGAGCCTGCCAAAAATGAGGAGCGGGGCGGACACTAGAAGAAAGAAGTGGTAGCCGGCTGGACAGCGGGAGTGCATGGAGAAAGCATGAGGCAGGAACAGACAGTAAGAGGAAGACCGAAAAAACGACCAAGAAAAAGGACAGAGGCACGGCAAGAGGGGGCGGGGGGGAAAGGATAAAAGAAGCAGCAGGGACGGAGAAAGGCAGACAGAGGGAGTGGGAGCAGGACAAAGAAAAATAAGGACCGGGAGCAGGATGCAAATTTAAAAACCACTGGGATGGGCAGCATGACAGAGGGGTTAAGAAAGAATAGGGGCGAGGAGCAGGACAGGGATACAGTGAGAAACAGTGACAGTGAAAATAAAAAAGGAAAAGGGAGCATAAGAGAAACGGGGAGTGCGGGGGGGGAGGAGAAGGATACGTAGGACACAGCAAAGAGAGGGAAAGAGGGTCAGGGAGCAAGACGCTGGGACAGAATGGGAAAAAGAGGGGCAGCGACCAGGACAGAGTGCTACAGACATGTGAAGGACAGCTGTAGACAAAGAGGAAGACAAGGACAGAGAAATGATGACAGGGGGAGAAAGATGGGGCAGGGAGAGCAGCAGAAAGGGATGGAGAAAGAGGAAGGTGGAACAAGACAGAGGGTTAGAGAAAAGTAAGATGAAGGAGCAGAGACAGAAAAGTACAGGGAAAACTAAGGATCGTGAGATAGAGAAAGAAAGCGTCAGGGAGCAAGACAAAAGGACAGACGGGAAAAAATGAGAAGAAGAAGGAAGGATAAAGATGGGGAGAGGGAGTGGGACATACAGAGAGAGAAAAAGTGGGACAGAGAACAGGGGAGAGGGATTGATACAGAGAGACGCAGACTGGGACAAAGATGGGGAAGGTAAAAGCAATGACAGGCTGGAGGACCTGCTTCTGTCACTCCTGATGTCACTTCCACAGCCTCAAAAATGTGACATTTCACAACACAGGGGAATGAGGGATTGAAAAAGTCACAGGGAACTTTTTAAAAAGAAAAGAACAAACAGAACAGCGATAGGGAATGGGATAATGATGGGGAGCAGACACAAGAAGAGAGCGAGCAACATGAGAGGGATGACACTGGACACAAAGTGAGAGGTAAAATGGGATGGAAAACTGGATATAAAGATGGAGGAAAAACAGGAACAATATTCATTACACAGTGTGGATAATTCAAATGTAAATTCTCTACCACCCTGAACAGAACTGTTCACCATACTGTCTTAGCCTGTATCTTGTCTAAATTAGTATCTGTTTCTTGGCAGAGTGCTCAGGACTATAAAACCCATGATAAAACATGGAGGGGAAAACATGCTTACAGGAGTAACGTAAATGGATTACGTGCACAAGATTTGACATAACTTAGTCTTAATCCTAGCTTGTACAATTAACACTGATCTCTGAATTTCAGCAAATTCCACATTTATTCATGCGTCTCCATAAAAAAAAAAATACATTATCTCAGTGTTGGATATAGCTTTGTTTGAAGATGCTGTAAATGTAAGGAGATATCTTGCTTTTGCAGGTTCTTTGGAAATCCTACGCTGACCTTGAAATCGAGCAAGAGTATGAGAAAACAAATCTTTACCACTGATTACTTCAGCAGACACAGCACATTAACACAGAATTTGTCTTGAATCTGGTCCACAGTGGAGAGAAAGCCTTGACTGCTTGAGCTGTCTTGGCTTTTTCAAGTCAACAGTGAACTTAAGTTCAGTCACATGCCTGTGCCATGAAGAGGGGAAAAGATACTTCTACATCATGTATAGCGGGTTTATCTTCTATGCAAATATTAATACAGTGCCTTTCCCTGCTGTTTTTTTGGGTATTGCACAGTACTTTCGCTGGTCATGAATAAATGCATTTAAAGAGTTTTTACTGTTACTGACTTCAGTTATTTTGGTTTGAAAGAAAACACCATACATGAGATAATTTTATTTTAATAGTCTCTGAATTTCCAATATTCGAAAGGAAAAATAATGGGATAAGCGCAGGAGTATGCAGCCATTAACAACAGAAGCAGTATTAGTAAGCTTCTCAATATTGCTTTTTGGTATTTTATGGGGAAAACCACTGAGCCTATGACTTCTCATCCATAAATTCCTGGGGGCTGAGGGGTGAAGGAACCTGACGCCCTTAGTAAGTTGACTGAGAATCACATCTTACAGTTACTCAATGTCTTCTGGCCTCACAGGATGAGGCAGAGGTATGATGGATTTCTTCTCCGTATCTCTGGAAAGAGCTTTTCTCATATCTGTGGCAAAAGAAGAAAAAGGCTATTACAGTAAGACAGGTGTTGCACAAAGCCATATTAAGTGATAAGATCATTTTTAATCAAGAAGATTTCATACAGTATCTCAAACTGGAAGGGACCCATAAGGATCCTCGAGTCCAACTCCCTGCTCCTCACAGGACTACTTAAAACTAAACCATATGACTCAGCTCCATGATCTTGCCAGGCACAGGGGTGAGACTGACGCGTCTGTAGTTCCCTGGGTCTTCCTTTTTTCCCCTTTTTAAAAATGATGTCTTAATGTCATTCAACAGCAATGTTATCAATTGGAATATAACACTGCAAGAAACTCAACTGAATGGAAAGCACATGGCAGGCTAAAAGGACAAATACATGATTTAAAGCATCTGCAGCAATGGTAGGTTTCTGTCTGTAGCTCCTACATTTCATAGTACTGCTGCATATCAAAGGAATAGTGCAAGAACAAAAAAGATACACAGCGTGACCATGTAACTCTTTGATGAGGATACTTAAAGGAAAGAAGGTCTAGAAAGAGAAGGCAGCTGGTATTTCAGTTTTGTTAACAGATTTAACATACTTTAACTTCCATGTCCCTTTCCTTTTAACATGACACCCAATTCTCTGCCACTGTTGACTACTGACACGTGTAAATTTGTAATCAGACATCTGAGAAAAACAATCTCGAGTCCCTGTTATGGGAAGAAATGAGGAAAGCACTGCAATTGCTTCTCCCGATAACATCTGCAAAAAGCCCAGCCACTGGGTGCGAGCATTCCTCTGAAAGAAAAATTAGATGAGAAACTGCATTTTTATTTTCACCTTACCTACAGGATAAGTGTCTTTGTACTTAATTTATTCTTGTTTCATAGTTTATTTTGCCACAGATGCTGCAAAACATGTAAACTGAAAGATTAAGTTTTCTAACTGATGTAATCTTAAGTAGGACAAGTTATCTAAAGGAGTATACAAAATCCCATTTAATCAACAGCTATCTGAACTTTTTTCGTATAAAAAAAAATAAAAACATACAATCCAACCCAGGAACCCTCAACATAAAAAACTTGCCATTCAACTTGAAGCAGAACAAGTACTTACCATAAGCATCTTCATCTGGTTCTCCATTGCTAGCAGAGTAGTACTCTAATACTGTCCGGTACACACTGTAGCCCAGTTGCTTATACATATTTACCGCAACCTGATTTGACACTCTCACGAAGAGATCAACAAAAAATCCACCCTTTCTTTGAAAACATAAAAGCCAAAAAAAACCACAGTAAGGAATAGCAGGTGAATGTATTTCTAAATAATAACCCGTAACTTGTAATCAGACCAAGAGCAGGTCTGATGATGTGGTATGCTGATCAAACATCTTTCATACTGTAGTGACAGATGCATTCCTTTACCAAGGGACAAATCCAGTATAGGCACAAATTTAATTTTATTTTTGTCACGTGATCATTCCTTTACACCAGCCACTGTGTTCAGAATTATGAACAGAAAGAACAGGCCAAGCTAAACACCCACACAAGCCTCATATCCACGATAAATGATTAAAAAAAAAAAATACAAATCCACTATTTAGATTGCATTGGCTGAGGAACTGCCTCCTTCACAGCAGATGGCAGGGGGGAGTGGTATAATCAGTCACAAAATTCAGTTGCCTAGTAGGAGACAGCCCTTCTCCTCACAAGGCAAATTTTTCAAAACATGATACTATTTTCCAACTTTATCAGCTACAGCTGGGTTGCCCTATGAGGATGAGTTGAGGACATTTCCATGTGGGTTCATTTGACACTAAATTAAATTTTCAGCAGATACAAGCAACCAAGCACGAGATAGAAAGTAAGCTAAGATACTGCCTGTCATACAAAATTTGTTCAAGACCGTGCCTACGGGAATCACACAAAGCCCCCGATTACTGAAGAAGTATGTTGGAGGCCCTACAAGAAATAGTGTTGATGTTTCAATTAAGCACTTTTCCTGTCAAAAAAAAGACCTATTATACAGTATCTCTGCTGGAATTCAGGCTACTTCTTACTCATTCTGGCAAGTTAGTTTTCATAGAAACCCTGAGATCTTAAACTACCGTGCAATATTTTTAATTCCTGCTCTCTAACTACAGGGAATTTCAGTGAATCAGAACACTAGTTAAAGCAAAATTCTGGGTCTGATTCATGCAAATCAAATATCTAAGCCACGGACATGTTTCAGTAGAAAGATTACTTTAAAAGATTAATTTAAAGATAAGTATAGTACTCACTTTTCTGAAATTTCTTCTAGTAGTTCCATCAATTTAGCAGCCAAACCCAGCCGCCGAAATTCTGGTGCAACAGAGAGAGCAGTAACGTGTCCATGCCATTCTTCTCTAGCCACAGAGCCTTCGGCTTTACCCATTACTGTGAACATACAGAGCATCAGAGCAGTAGCACCTTTGGAATAACGCACCACCCACAGCCATACATCTTTACAAAAGAACCAAGCAGGGTATAAACAAACATTGCAATTACTGTGGTAAAGGTTCAAACAGGAATGTCTATGTCATTAGTCACTGATTCAGCAACCACTAAAAATGTCACTCAAGTATTAGTTTCTTGACTACTGTAAAAAACAACAACAACAACAACAAAAAAAAAAAATCGAACCTTGTTTGAGGCATGACTTACAAATGCAAATTTTAAGCAATTCTTTTGAGTCTTTAACTGAGCTGAATTCAGGATTTGACTAAAGTAAGGGAGGAATGGAGGGCTAGAAGCGCAATACTAACTCACCATCCTGGCAATTGCTGGAGACTTTTGGTGACTATGGGGTAAAAGAGCTTGGGAAGCTTTGACAGAAAGCTAAGGCCCTGCAAACACAGTATGTTTAAGGGGGTAAGGAGAAAAAAAGAAGAAAAAAAAAAAAATGGGAGTTTGTTTTGGGGGATTTCTCTGTAATTCCTATCCTTTCTACACAGAGCCAAACCAGTGCTTGTTCTCTAATGAATAGTCACACTTTCACATGGTACTCTTATAAACATCAGTCACTGATGTGGTGGGTATGAAAAAACCTTCTATACAGCAAACGCTTTAAGCTTTACTGTGTTAACTACTTTATTTTCCAGTTCTCTGCAAAGGCCCTTATTCTGCCCTTTGCTCCCTCCTCCCCTCAATCACCACTCCTTCCCTCCCCCCCGCCCCCCCCCCCCCCAAAAAAAAAAAGAGGGTAAAAAGCCTGGAAGGAATAAACAAACCAAGAGGTCCGTTTGGAATGATTTCTGAAAATCACAAATATTCCACAGCAGATAAGCTACTGACATCCAGACCCAGAGCATTCCCTGTTTTTACTTACTAATGACTGACAGCATGTGAGATCAGAGCTGAGTGCAGGGACTTTATTCCAGGATTGCTGAAATGCTTGTACACATACATTCACCAGCATAAAACCTGGGTGGATATTAGCACAGACAAGTGTCCTTGCCACACTAGGAACATCAAACTGAAAACTACTGCTATGAGTCCTACATAATACCCTTTGACATTTATGAAATGGGAAGATGATACACAATGTGCCATTTCCCTGTTGGGTATTTGAAAAATGCAGAGTAAGAAAAGCTCCTGCTCTAACATTCCCCAAATACGCAATGCAGCGAGACGGTAACACAGGAAAAGCTGGCGCCGCAGAGTCACACCACACTCACTGTAACCCATGAGCTCCCCGCCGGGCGCCTCGGCGACAATGAAATACTCGGGCCAGTGGGCCAGATACTGCAGGTAAAAGGGGATCCCATACTAAGGCGCTCGGTTAAGGAGCAAGCTGTTGTAGCCACGGCTGCTGCCACCCGTGCTAGGCCCCGCGCCTCCTCCCCGGCGTCTGGCGGCAGCGGGAAGGATACGGTCTCCGTCAGCGGGTCCAGGTTGCTGTAGGGGGAGAGCAACGCTCACCACGGGCCCCGGCCCCGCCCGCCCGCCCGCCCGCCGAGGGGGCGCCCCGAGCTCCCCCGGGGGAAGGGGGAGCCCCTTGCGTGCGCCCACACGCCGAGCGTGGCAGAGAGCGAGCACGGGGCTCAGGGACGGGGAGGGGAGAGAAAGGCGGCCGGCGCTCACATGTTGTTGAAGCGGAAGAGGTCGTCGCAGGTAAAGGCGCGGAGCGTCGTCATGCCGCGGCCGCTCGCCCCGGCGCTGCCTCCGCCCCGGAAGCTCTCCCGCTGCCCAAGGGCCCCTTCCGCCACGGAGGCGTGGTAGCGGAAGCAGCGCGCCCTGGCTCCGCCCCCGTCGGGCCACAGCTGGCGGCGGGCCGTACCGGGAAAAGGCGGCGGGGGCGCAGCGGCTGGCGGGGGGCGCTGAGAGCGGCGGCCGGGCAGGTTGAGGCCGCCTGCGGCGGAGCGAGGAGCGGTGGAGACGGGCCATCGGGACTGCGGTGCTGGGAGACTCTTGCAGCCTGGCTCTGGCAGTCAGGGAGAGCTTGTGCAGCGCCCAACGACAGCTCCACCCCAAGCACGCACACAGGCCCACACTGGACACAACATGACCGTAATATGCAAAAACACCACACGCAAAACAACTCCCAGAGGAGGGAAGATGCTGCCAGGGGAGAAGGCCTACAGTGCCACAACAGCATGGCACAGATGCTCTGTGGCGGACCTGGGAAACGCAGTCAAACACCGTGGCCTGTGGACAGAATGTTAGTCAAAACTGGGACAACAGATGCCCAAGCAGCCAAGCACCAAGACCTAAGACTAAGGATGCAGAGAAGAAACCCCAAAAGAGGACACTGTGGAAATTGAACACTCAAGAGCTGCTGACACAGCCTGGATCACTGCTGCAAAGATGACAACTGTGGTGCAAAACACACAAGATAGATCCACACTTCTGGCTTTGCTAGACAAGAAGTGCACAACTGGCACAATGTCAATGAGACAATGCAGTCAAGACCCTATGAATGCCTACTAAGGTGCACACCGAGCTCTCTGAGCGCAAAGAGCAGGGGGTGACCATCAAAACCTAAGTATGGTATAGGACACAGAACACAAACTACACAAACGACACCACAACACTGACGCAGGCTAGAACTGCCCCGCCCAGCAGATGATCACCTCAAGCCAAATGAACCCCACACCTTCTCTCTACACCAAAACATGACTTCTCCTGAACATCCCACTCGCCATTGCACTGACTAAACACCTCACCTGTCCCACACTGCAATCTGTCTCCAACCCACCCACCCACACCATTTGCCCTTCAGCTTTGCTTTCAGAAGGCTGGGGGTCAGAGTCCATCCTCAAGAAGGACCACGTCTCCTAACCGGGACGCTGCTGCAATCAGCAGGTGCTCCTTCATCATCTGCAAAAACACAGTGCTGGAGGTCACTATCATGTCAGCCAACACCAACCTCTTTCACAAAAACAATATCCTCAGCGGCACCATGGACTCCACTCACCTGTTCCACACCCAGAACCAGATGTTGTGGCCAGCATCTACTGTGGCTCCTGGGAAACCAAAGAGATAAGATGACCACCATGCTTGAAAACATTCACCTATTTCACGAGGCCTGCTGTGCCACTCCTCTCACCTCCACAGGTTTACCCCAAATGCTCAGCCAGTTCTGAAGAAAGCCCACTGCTGCACCTGCAAAATAAAAGGGAAACACGTCACTAAGTTCCTTCGTGGTACTTTGCAGCTGAACTCCAACCTGGCTGACAGGTACCTCACCTTCTCAGACTGCTCAGGTGCATGGCTTCACCCTTCTGGGACTATGTGTGGCATCTTAAACAGAGGGAAAAAAAAAAAAAAAAAGAGGAAAAAGAAGCACTGTTGGAGAATGGCTCCGAGACAAGGGTCATGAGCCCACCGAGCAGTTGTACGATCAGAGCCTGTTCTAAGGGCTGATGCTGGGCCTCACTAGGGTTTGCCTGCAGCTGCTCGCAGCTGCTGATACATGAAGAATGTCAAGGACGCTTCGGCCTTGTGTACCGTGGTGTGTCGAAAACAGGTTAAGAGGAATCAGAAATAGTGGCCTGAGAAACTTAGTGTTATGGTAACGTTGGCCTGAGAAACTTCTTGTTATGGTACCGTTGTGTATCGAAAACAAGTCAAGAGGAATTAGAAATAGTGGCCTGAGAAACTTAGTGTTATGAGAAGCTTGTGCTGTTAGCTAACCGCAAGTAGGTGGACCGTGCGAACATGACCTTTAGAGCTTAAGTCAATCAGCTACTGACTAGTAGGCATAATAATTAGCGTGGTCTATATAAATATATGTACCCTGGACCAATAAATGGAACGATGCTCTATCACCCACATTGAGTCCGTCTCGGCACTTCGTTCCTCCATCGCTCCACAAAACACATGCTGAGATACTGCTCAAAACCATGGTCCACCCACAGAGATTCCTCTCTCTTGCTCCTTTACCTTGGCCATTCAGCTGCCCCAATATACATTTTCACTGTTCCACCACCTGTAAAACCCAAACAACACGGTATGATTCTATCTACAGCAACATGACACCTCAAAAATAATGACCACATCAGCCCACTTTGTTGCTCACCTTGGTCGAGTAAGCTCCAGTGCAGACAGCCTGCTTTACATGCTGCTTCACACCTTCCGAATGAAGCTAAAAAAAAAACCCACAGGCTAGTCATAGCCACCAACAATAGTGCCTGCCACCCCATACCATGTGCTAGCCCACCTCCTTACTGCACTCCACTCACCTCCTCTTTTGCCTTTTGATATGCAGCTGGCCACTCTGCATCTGAAGAAAAAACAATATAAAACAAGTCACCCAGATGTGGACCGATAGCTTGAAGAGGCCAACTGTCTTGTTTTCTTTTGCATATGCTGTCTAAATTATAAGTACAGCCTGCAAAAAAAAACAAAGAACAGACATTAAGACCCACACATACAAGCTTTGGCACATTCAAGATAGCACCTCCTCAACTACCATGCAAACAGTTGTTCCAAAGAGGCGTGAGTTGCCCCCTCAGCACCTGACAGATGCTGCAGGAGTGACTCTGCACCAGCTGACAATGGCTACTCACCCAGAGATGGACCATATGGTCCATGGAAAGATAAACTAGACAGATCAACATATTACCACAGCACCATACTGCTGCGCTGCCCCTGACTCCACCATTACTACATCTCCAGGCAGGACAGCTCCAACCCAAATGCACACAGACTGACACCACACACAGACACTACAAATGACATGACCAAAAGATGCAAGACCACCATGCGCTAGATGAATGACTCCCACAGAGAAGACGCTACCAGCCACAAAGCCCTGTGGTGCTGTGACAGTGGAGCACTCATGCTCTACTGTGGCTCCAGAGTCAAATGGCACAGCCTATGGCAGAAAGCTGCCATCAAAACAGTGATGACAGATGTATGGTCATCTAAGACCCAAGAGTGTAAGAACGTGGGGGAAAATAAAAAAAAAAAAAACAGAAGAGGACCTCATGAAAACAGAACTCTCAAAAGAAAAGCTGCTGATGCAGTCTGGATTGCCTCTGCAATAATGACCATCCAAAAATGTCTACGATGCAAAACATGCAAGACAGATCCATGCTTCTAGCTTCGACTGCAAGACACGAAGTCCATGACTGGCACTACACCAATGAGTCAAGGCATTCGAGACCACCGTGATTGCTACAGAGGTGCTCGCTGAGCTTGCTGAGCACAAATCGCAATGGTGGGCACCAAGACCTGCGGAAGGTATGGCACAGGACACAGAACACAGGCTACACAAACCACACCACGACACACATGCAGTCTGGAACTGCCCTGCCTGGCACACACTCACATCATACACAGCTGACCCCGCACTCTCTGCACCTAAACACAAGTAATCTTAAGCAGCCCTCTCCACGGCACAGAATTCAAAGCCTCTCTTCGCACTACTCAGCAATCCCTCTCCACCCATAGCATGTGCCCCTCAACTTAGCTTTCAGACTCCTGGGGAGGATCAGAATCCATCCTCAATGAGGGAACATGCCATCTACCCAGGATGCTCCTGCCAGTGCCAGGTTCCTCTCAGTTATCTGGAAAACAATGTGCTGCCAGCCACTGGCAAGCCAGACACTACCAGCCTCTTCCACCATAACACCTTCCTCAGAAACACAGTGTCACCCCACTCACCTTCTCCACTCCCAAAATCAGATGTTGAAACCAGCAGCTCACACTACAGCTGAAAAACCACAAAGATAAAATGTCCATTGTGCTTGGAAGCAAGCACTCATTCTGCAGGGCCCACCATGCTGTTCCTCTCATTTCCACAAACTTGCCTCAAATTCTCAGCCATTTCTGAAGAGCGCCCTCCATGGCATCTGCAACACCAAAGGGAAATACTTCACTGAGTTGCCTCACACTGCTTTGTGATTTGACTGTAACCCAGCCAACCACCTCACCTTCTTGGGCCACTCATTAGTGTGCAGGTTCACCCCTTGAGACTGTGTGGCATCTGAAAAAAAAAAAAAAAAAAACAAACAAAAAAACCCAAAAACAAACAAAACAAAAACCTCCACAAAATCACAGAGGAAATACGCACTCTAAGATACTTCCCTAAACCACGGGCTACCTGCAGCAATACCTCTCACCCTCCTTCACCTTGGCCGCTCACCCACCCTGAGACTGATTCTTCAATCATCCACAAGGTCTGTACCCACCTATTAAATACAATCAGCAGGAACTTATTACAACTACATCACCAGAACAACACCTCAGAATTAACTGCTACCTCTGCTGCTACCTCTGCCCTCTCTTCATCACTTGCCTTGCTCAAGTCAGCTCCAGTGCTGAAATCCCACTTCACACTTTGCTTCACACCTTTGAAACAAAACCAGAAAAAGCTATAATCTAGTCAGAGCCACCAAGAGTAGCACCTGCTCTCTGACACAACACCATCCCACCTTCTTATGGCCCTCCACTTTGCTCTGCATCTGAAACTACATTATAAAGCCATTCCTCCAGAAGCTGACCAATAGCTTGAAAAGACAAAAGGGTCTTGTTTCCTTTTGCATATGACTTAAAAAACAACAACAAAAAAAAACCCAAACAACCGCAAATTAACTATATCCTGGGGGGAAAAAAAAAAAAAACCACCATCCAAAACAAAACAACAACAACAACAACAACAAAAAAAAAAAAAAAAAAAAAAAACAAAAAACCCCCAAACAACTAAACAACAACAACAACAAAAAAAAAACCCAAACAAAAATACCACAAAAAAAACTCACCAAACCCAGAAATTAAGCCCCAGACATACAAGCTTAGGTACATTTAAGATTCAGCTTGCTCAACTACCACACCAGCTGCCACTGCTTAATGCCTCAAGTCACCCCCTTGGCACCCATGAAACACAAAGAGAAACAACAATCTGTGCCAGCTGCCGACAGCTACTCGCCCGCAAATGACCATACGATGTTTGCCAAAACAATCCGGGCAATTCAACATATTACCACACCAAATGTACTGCTACGCTAGTCCCAACTCTAACATTGCTACACTCCCAGGCAGGACAGCTCCACCCACGCACACACACAGACCAACACCATACACACAACATGACCTTAAGATGCAAGAACACATACAAAACAAACAACTCAGAGGATGGAAGATGCCACTGGCCAAGAAGCCCTACAGTGCCACGACAACATGGAACCAATGCTCTACAGCAGTCCCAGAAAAAACAGTCACACACCGTGACCTGTGACAGAAAGCTAGCACCAAGACCGGTGCAATGGATGTGCAAGTAGCCAGCTTCTAAGACCCAGCACTGTAAGGACACAGGACGACACCCCAGAAGAGGACCCCGTGGAAACTGAACACACGAGATGAGAGAGGAGTTGCTGACACAGCCTGGATCACCGCCACAAAGATGACCGTCCAGAAACATCTAGGACGCAAAGCACACAAGACAGATCCATGCTTCAAGCTTTGATTGCTAAACAAGAAGCACACGACTGGCACCATGCTGATGAGGTAACACATTCAAGACCCTCGAAATAGCTACTGAGGTGCTCACCAAGCACAAAAAGGAATGCAGACATCAAGACCTAAGAAAAGTATGGTATATAAGACACAGAACACAGACTACACAAATGACACACACAGGCTGGAAGTGCCCTGCCTGGCACATGCTCACATCCTGCAGGACAGACCCCACGCTCTCTAGCTGCACCCAAATGTAACTGCCCCTGGACAAGACTCACCACA